CACCGATGCACTCACATACATGCAGGCAATACACTCATACACATAAAATAAGAATAAATAAAATATTCTTTCCTTAGTAAAATAAAAGCATATGTATGGTATGTAACATATCTATAATCACGGTAACAAGTGCAGATAATTTTCCTCATCAAAATCAACAACTGCAAGTCAACATACACGTGCATCACTATTGAAATTATTGATCTCTTAAATCAAGGATATTATTTAATTCCTTCATTTTTTTTCTTTTCTTTCTTTCTTTCTTTTTTTCTTTTTTTTTCTTTTTTGAGACAAGTTTTCCCTGTAGCTCCGAGCTGACCTGGAACTTGACCAGGCTGATCCACCCACATCTTCCTCCCCTGTACTGAGATTAAAGGCATGTATCATCATCCCTGGCTCTATTATTTAAATTTTAATTTTTTATTTGCATGCACGTGGAGGGGTTGCTTGTCTGTGCACCATTTGCATGCAGGGCCCACAGAGGTCACAAGAGGGCATCAGATCTCCTGGAACTGGAGTAAAGGGTGTTTATGAGCCATCCCATGTGGATGCTGAGAATTAACTCATGTCCTCTCTGTAAAAGCAGTGAATGCTCTTAAAAACTGAGTCATTCCTCTAATCCCAAAGAATTTTATTTTTTCAGAGCCAGAGTCTCCCCCTGCTGGTCTGGAACCCCCTATGTAGACCATTCCAGGCCTGCCTGGATTTCACAGAGATCTGCCTACCTCTGCCTCCCAAATGCTAGGATTAAAGGTGTATGCCATCATGCCCGGCTCAAGGACATTATTTTGTACTGCCATTAACTTGTACTGCCGAATTTTCATATATATGTATGTTTTGTACTAGGTACAATAAAACTCATTCATATAAGTTTCACTGTGTTAAAACATATGATAATTCAACTTGTGGCAACAGTTTGAGGGAAGATGGCCTGCTCCAGAAACAAAACAGTAATTAAAACCTCAGTAGAAGGTACTGATGGCTACATTCTACTGAAGCCAAGTAAAGCAAGGATTTCAACATTTTGTCACCTTTCTATTATGCAGATTGAGCATTCCTTAGCTGAAATGTTTAGAACCAGAAATGTTTTGAATTTCAGAAAATTAATGAATACATAATAAGATATCTTAGGGATGGGATCCAAGTGTAAACATAAATTTCATGTATACCTCATATACACTTTATACACACAGCCTGAAGGTAATTTGACATAATAGCTTAGTGCAACTTTGTATTGATTACAACCCATCATAGGAAGTCAGGTGATTTTCACTTGTGGTGCCATGCCAGTATGCAAGATGTTTCAAATTTTGGAGCACTTCTGATTTCACATTCTTGAATTAGAAGTGATCATCCTGTATTCACTTAGCTAGTCTCACCTGCAAAAGGACTAGAAATCATAAATAATAAAAAGAGGTATGCTAAAGTATCCTTTAAAAATGATTGCTATTTTTAAAAAATCTAATTTCATTTATTTAACAAAATAAAATGATGGGGAAGGGAAAAAGGTCAAGAAATATGTTCCGTGATGGAGGTAATTATGGATATAGGAGAAGAGGCAACAGGGCATGGTTTTTAACATCAGGAAAAAAATAAGGAATGTACAGAGGCTGATAAAAAGAATTTGCTTGGGTCTGTGCTCTTTCAACCTCTTCACCTAGCACCGTACAATTTAAAGTCACCACATCATTTGACAGTAAAATATTTTCAAAAGG